CTGGAAACCACTGGCGTTTTTACTGTAGCCATAGTTTCCTTTCTCCTTTGGGCCATAGGTTGACTCATGCAGAATGCTGCATTTCCAGGCTGCCTTCTTGAACTCAGAGTACATATTTATCTTTCTTCCATGTCTTTTCATGCTAGGGATCATGTTTCTTTTTAGCACTGAATACTATTCCATTAATTAATGCACTATATCTATAGACATCTGCGTAGAGGAAAATTTTATTTTAAACTCTGGGCAATTACCAAAATGTATGAGAAATGGATTTTATTATAAGGTGTTGTATCTGCTTAGTTTTTAAATTTAAAAAATATTAAAAAGCAACCAGGAAAGATAGCTTAGAGGTTAACAGACTTTACGGTTCTTGCCCAGGAAATTGGTTCCTAGCTCCAATATCACATGACCTACAACTGCCTGTGACTCTATCTCCAGGGAGATCTGTTGCTTCCAGGAACACCTGCACCCAACACATAACCACACACAGGCATACATCCATGCACAGAATCAGAAAACAATCTTAAAATATTTTTATTTATTTATTTATTTATTTATTTATTTATTTATTTATTTATTTATTTTGGTTTTTTAAGACAGGGTTTCTCTGTGGTTTTGGAGCCTGTCCTGGAACCAGCTCTTGTAGACCAGGCTGGCCTTGAACTCACAGAGATCCGCCTGCCTCTGCCTCCCAAGTGCTGGGATTAAAGGCGTGCGCCACCACCGCCCGGCGAATCTTAAAATATAAAACAAGCAAGAAATCATATTCTAAAAGTTCAGATGTGATCTTTCAATACACGTGCTTGGTGCGATGATTGTATGTTGGCACCTCACCAATCATCGTGATAAAACATGTCATCAGAACCAGAAAGCATCACTGACCATTTCTACCTTCTGATGAAGAACACGCCCACAGCCTCTGCAGACTGTGTGCCATCCCTCTGTGTTTCAAAGAATTTGAATTTCTTATAGCCCGTATATAGGTAATAGTACATGCATCAAGTGTGTGTGTGTGTTTCTGCATCTGACTCAGTCAACTTACCCTAAAGTCCTTCAGGCTCGTCTTTATGGTCACGCATGCCAGGAGATCCATTTTTATGGCCATATGATATTCTGGTGGATGCATATTTACCAGAATCTGCACACACAGTATGAGGCAATTTCTTTATCGTTCATTCATTGGCAGTCACAGAGACAGTCTCAGGGCTGTGCTGGCTTGTTTTCTGCCAGCCTGACATACATTAGAGTCAGAATCTGAAAGGAGGGAACCTCAATTGAGAAAATGCCTCCATAAGATCAGGCTATAGGGCATTTTTAAAATTAGTGATTGATGGGGGAGAGGCCAGCCCATTGTAGGTGGGGCCATCCCTGGGCTGGTGGTCCTGAGTTCTACAAGAAAGCAGGCTGAGCGAGCCATGATGAGCAAACCCAGTAAGCAGCGCCCCTCCACAGCCTCTGCAGCAGTTCTTGCCTCCAGGTTCCTGTTCTTCTTGAGTTCCTGTGCTGAGCTCCTTCAGTGATGGATTATGATGTTAAAGTGTAAACCAATGTACTCAAAACCACTTAATACCAACTGCCTGCATTTTCAGTCATGAATATATTGTTATTAGCTGTAGTCACTGTAATCTATAATAGAGAACATGAACTTTCTCTTCCTGTCTAACTGAAACTTAGAATTCTTTACTCAGGACCTTCAGTTACTGCTCCGCCACTTAGCTACTGGTAACTCCCACTCTGTTGTTTTGTTTTTGTGAGCAATGTGTGTGTGTAGTTTATTTGATACATATTATTATATAGCTATGTTAGATCAAAAAATTAAATGATTTTCTTGATCGGACAAAGGATGAAATGAAAAAAAAATTCTTTTTTTTTTAAATTATTTTTTGAGACAGTGTTTCTCTGTGTAGCCCTGGCTGTCCTGGAACCCATTCTGTAGACCAGGCTAGCCTCAAACTCAGAGATATTCCCTGCCTCTGCCTCTCAAGTTCTGGGATTAATGACAAGCACGCACCACCACCTGGCTTTGAAGTGAAAAAGTTGTAAAGTTTTAGGCGGACTGTAGACCTAAATATATGACTATCAGCTGTCAGATCAGAGGACCCAGGGGGATGAGCTGGTTTGTATGCATTCACAGTATGTGAGCCCATCCACACGTGACTGTGGGCACACGCCATAGTGTGGAGCGCAGAGGACAGCATAGGCTGTGGGGTGTCCCCTTCTTCCTGGTTTTGAGACAGCATTTCTGTATTGTTTTTTTTTTTTCATTGCATGAACCAAGTTGTCCTGCCAATAAGCTTCTGGAGCATCTCTCTTCCCCCCTCCTCCCTGCAGGAGCACCAGGTTAGAGATGCCCATATCATGTATCTGGCTTCCCAGTGGCTCTGGAGGTTCGAACTCAGATCTTCATGTTTGCACAGCACATGCTCTTATTCACTGAGGCATCATCCCATCTCTAGAACACGTACTTTAAAAAGTCAAGCAGGCCTATAATCTAGCGCTTGGGAGACTGTGTCAGGAGAACGGTGAGGTCAGAGCCAGCCTGGGATGCATAGTGCAACCTTATCTTACCAACAGCCTCTGTTCAAACCCCTTTTTGAAAATAATATTTTTAATAAAATCACATCACTTTCAGCTTGGCTGGATTTCACATCTCCTAGGGCACACGTCTGTTTGAGAGGGTGTTTCTAGAAGGGGTAACTGCTGAGAGAAGACCCACTCTGAATGTGGGCAGTGCTGTGCCGTGGCCTGGGATCCTGGACTGAATGAAAAGGCAAAGAGGAGAAGGTGAGCCACGCACTGGTGTTTCCCTCGCCTGCTTTCTGATCAGGGGCGAGTTTCTGCACTACATCTGTGAGCCCCTTCTGCCACCATGCTTCCTAAGGATGGGATTTGCTCTCCTGAATCTGGAGACCCAGTAACTGAACTGTGTTGTGTTAGGTGTGTGGTCACAATGATGAGGAAGGGGACCAGTGGCAGCAGTTCCTTGCAAATACTGCTTTGACCCTTGACCACACCCATTCTAGGATGAAGGGCACGTGAAAAAGATGAAAAAGATCATGCACTAGAAACAGAAAAAAAGCGTTAAATTTGGCTTTTGTGAAATCAATTTGCTTTCACCTTCTGTTTCATTTATTTTGTCCAAGTAGACTGAGCAGTAGAAAAAATGCTCAGGGAGCAGAACCTGGAAAGGAGGAATCGTGGGCACTACAAGCCAGTGAGGACACATCACTCTGTTGTGGTTTACAGTGTACTTTAGACTGTGTGAGCACGCCAGGGCTCTGCGCTTTACCATGGCTCTGTGCTTCCTGAAATGAGTTTCTCTTTTAAGTGTCACTCTCCAAATGAGCCTCTCTGCTTTACCTTACTACACAATGTGTACATGAGCGTGCATGTGCGTGTGTGTGTGTGTGTGTGTATGTGTGTGTGTGTGCACGCGCACATACATGAGTGAGTGAAGGGTGGAGGTCACAGGACAACTTTGTGGACTCTGTTCTGTCCTTCTATTTTTACGTGGGCTTTAGGGACTGAACGTGGGGGTCTCCAGGCTGGTACAGCCAATGCATTTACCCACTGAGCCATCTCACCAGTCTACTGCTTCTTAAAATTACATCCTGGCTACTTCTTACAAAACACATGTATATCAATAGTTGGCATGCATATTCATGTATACATTCTTATAACACTGTACTCTTTATATATTTAAATACCTCTATTAATATACATACCCATATAGATATTATAAGATTATAGTAATATCACTGTGTATATTACTTGTACTCTGTACATGGTACACAGTTTTGTTAAAGGTTCTTCAGAGAGCTTTTATACTAGCTCTTCAAAGATCACATTGGACTATACCTTGGGGAGGCTTTTCTAGGGATATATCGTTACAGAGGAAACTTGGGGCAGTGTTTCCTCTGACTCATTTTAGAAGATATGCATTATCTTGATTTCTACTTCCAAAGACTTATTATATCTTTATAAAACCTTAAAAATGCCTGGTTCCTTTCCAATATCTTGGAATTTCTGCAAGTTAAGAGACCAATAGGAAGATGGAGTTTTCCTTTCTAAAAAACATTTTAGTTCTAATTTTATATGTGTGTGTCTCTCTGTGGGGATGTGAAGCACAGATGTCCACGAAGTCCGGAAAAGAGAGGGCTTCAGACCCCTAGAGCTGGAGTTCCCGGTGGATGTGAGCTGCCCAATACGGGCGCTGCAGCTGAACTCTGATTCTCTGCAAGAGCAGTTCATGCTGTTGCCGATGAGCTATCTCTCTAGCTCCTGGAGTTCTACTTTTTAAATGAATAATTAAGGGACAGGATTTTCTTTGATATGTTAGTGGTAAAGTTAATTAGCGCCTACGACTTACAGTGAAGTATAATGAAAATGACATTGAGTTGTGAATTCTAGGACAGAGTTGGTGTCTGAACTTCAAAGCTTAACCTGGGGTCAGAGTCTCTCAGCCTCCCACAGCCACTGAAACGTGTGGCTAATCACACCTTGGCTTGCCTGCACCCCCCAGTGTTAAGATGTGACCGCGTGTGTGTGTGTGTGTGTGTGTGTGTGTGTGTGTGTGTGTGGAAAATGGTCAGGCAGCTCAGAGATGTTGCTCTTGTGATTAACAGCGCACGCCAGTCACTGTGTTTAGTGTTTGTATAATTCTCCTGGTAGCTTTATGGTGTAAGCGACATAAATACTGGAGCTCTAAAGCTGAAAGTGAGGAATAGGAAGCCAAGGCATCTTGGTGAGCCGGAACGGCAAGCTTTGAACCCAGGACTGACAGTAAAACCCAAGCTCATAAACACACAGCTTTGATCATCCATCTGAACAGTACTGCTATGTTGTCTTCTATATGAACTGTTGAGGCAGTGAAAGCATAGTTCTCCTATTAATACACCTGAATTTTAAGAATGAAGCTTAAAATTTTGTTTTTGTTTTTTTTTCTTTATAAGAATTGATTTCCACAGAGTCCTAACCATCTGAATGTTTCCTTTTCCCAGAATTTAATTGTCCTGAACCCACTCACAGTGACAGAGGAGGAAATAAGACCATCACTAGAGAAACGCCTAGAAGCCATCATCAGCGGGGCTGCCCTGCTGGCTGACTCTTCCTGCACCAGGGACTTCCACCGAGAGCGGATTATCGCTGAGTGCAATGCCATCCGCCAGGCTCTCCAGGACCTGCTGTCGGAGTACATGAGCAATGTAGGTGACTGGTTGCTTTTCCTCCTTGTATCTTCTTGGAATGAGTTTGAGCATTTGCTGGGCTGCTACAAAGGAGGAGGTGATTTTATGGAAAGTGACGTTGAGAGTGGCTTCTGTGGCTTTTTCAGCAGGAGGCATCATTTTAGGAGTTTGGAAGGTTGAAGTCATAATCGGAGAAATATGTGCATGTGGTTGGTTGGTTGGAGAAGTCTCTAAATCTCAGTTGGAGAGGCAGGGTTGGAGGAACAAAACAAGCATTGCACATTAGTTTAGAGGATCCAAAGATAGACAGAGCGGTATATTGGTTGGAGTAGAGTTGGCATCAAAGGGGCACTTGAGGTTAGAGTCTAGATGATGTAAGATGTGTCAGTGATGTGGATTTGAAGAGGTAAAAAGCCCAGGCCTTTGATAGGATGCGGTTGTCATCTCCAAAGGTGATACGGTGCCATAGGATTTCCTGCTGGCGGGAACCACTGAGACCATTTGAAAATGCTGAGATTTTGAGTATTTGTTTCAAGGTCCCTTTTGTTCGATTCTGTACTGTACGTGCATCTCAGAACCGTTACTAAAACAAACAAGAAGATCTCAGGGTAACTTAGCTGTGCAATCGTCCTGTATGTCCATGGATTGGAATTTGCTCCTAAGGCTTTTTGTTTTGTTTTGAAACAGGGTTTTTCTGTAGGTTTGGAGCCTTTCCTGGAACTTGCTCTGTAGACCAGGCTAGCCAAGAACTCACTGAGCTCTGCCTGCCTCTGCCTCCCGAGTGCTGGGATTAAAGGTGTGCACCACCATCGCCCAGCTGCTCCTGTTTAACTCTTTATAGGCAATTATTGGCTGAAATAATTACATGGAAAATTTAAAAAAGCTTATATTTGAAAATAACTTCAGCAGTATAGATTTTATTATTCTATATAATTTATTGTTGTCTACTTTTCTATTGTTTTTTTCTATTGTTTTTAAATTACAAATGAACCTGTCACAGATTTGCCTATATAGGAAACAGTGTGGTGCTTCTAGAGTTTAGCACTGCTCTTCAGGCGTTCACTGTGTGCCATGGAATGTATCCCTTATAGATGAGAAGGGAATATTATATACCTATCATGAAAACTTCTTAAAACATTGAACTACGTAGTTAAATTAAAACACTTTCTTTATCTACCTTATCTAAGTGGAGCAATTCAAGATTTATACATATATGTTTGGGCAATTATTAGTCACGGAGCATATGGCTTTTGGTTAAGAAATTGCTTGTTTTGCGTCTTTAAGTATGTACGTGAAATGTGCGAAAATCAATGAGTTTTCCAGTCCCTTGAATTCATTTGATGTATCTCCGTATTCTTAATATTTGATGATTTGACTGCTGACCAGAAAGCTCTTTCCCGTCAAGAAATCAAAGTTGAGAAGCAGATTTTGTTAATAAGAAGAACATGTTAGTTAAGCCACGTCCTGCTGAAATATCTGAAGTGAGAACGTTGCTAGTTTCATCATATGAGATTTTTCTTATTAAAGATTGCTCAGGGCAGTTCATCAATCACAAGAAACCTAGAAACTGAAAAGTGTTAAAAATATTATTCTCATCTTTATAATGTGTAATAAAGTTATACATATTCTTATTTTGCATATAAATTATGAAATCATAAATAAAATTTACTTTATTTTAAAGTAGTTGCACTCATTATAGATATGTAGATATACGAACTTCCACACTAACCTGGACAGATTTAGAGGTGATGGATTCATGATTTATGTGGTCTGATACAGAATGAAAATGAGACTTCTTATTTAAAACAGGCAGAGAAACATTTTTTCATAGTCACTCTTAATAAATGAAATAAATCTTTATTTGCTAGTTAGTGCTACGTTTCCCAGGTCAGCCTACCTGTGGAGTGAGGACACAGAACCTCAAAGGCATTTGTGTGGTCAGGCCCCGTCGCGTTTCCAAGGTCACCTTCCACAGAGAAGAGCTGTCTTATTTGGTGTTAAAAAGCCTGCACTTGGCAATCCGTCTCAACACATTTCCAGTCAGTGTGAGGATGTGATATCCTAGACACATTCCCTTGTCCTACTTGGTTAACATTTTGAGCCCTTCTGTGTTAGATCCAAGGGGATCCCATTCTAAAGATTTATTTCTTTTTGTTTTGTGTATGTGAATGTTCTGTCAGTACGTGAATATTTATCATGTGCATGCGGTTCCCACTGAGGCCAAAAGAGGGCACCAGGTCCCCTGGAGCTGGAGTTACAGATGGTTGCGAGCGGCCATGTGGGTGCTAGGAACTGAAACCAGGTTTTCTGAAAGAGTATTAAGTGCTCCTAACTGCTGAGTCATCTGCCCAGCCTCCATCAGTTCTCATGGACAGGAATGTTCTTTCTTGGCATGAGCTGAGCTCAAATCTTGCTCATTTTGTACATCTTCAGGAGAGCTCTGGAACTTTGAAGAACACGCCACCTTCCCTGATGGACCTGGTTTAGATCCTTCGGTAGCTTTCATATTCTTTGCCTTTACAGACTCATACAATGTGAAAGGGTCCAGTTGGATTGTCCAGCCTTACAGTTCCGGCACAAAGACACTCACAGAAAGAAACTTCGTGTTACTAGTTCCCATGAGAATCTGAGGATCTCTTAGGCATGTGTCATTAAGGCTCGGCTCCACATTCCATGTCTGTTGAGTCCAGATCCCATCCGCAGTGGGACAGGACGATTTGAGATTCAGTCTGTCAGAGCACATGGCTATTCTGAGTTAAAATAACCTTTTTTTTTGAAAAACCAGGAAGTTTTTAATCCTAGTATTTTTTGACTACTAACAGCCATTTCTCACAGATATACTCCTAACTACTTTATTGGAAGAAATTATCTAAGACAGACAATATTTACAAAATGGACTTTCAAGACAGGAACAGAGATCCTATAGGTAAGGGGAAATCTCAAATCTGTCTTTGTAGGCTTTATGAAGTATCAGAGCTTCTTCCCAAGACACTCACACAAATGAAATTGATTCCTGAGTGCGAAAAAGACCACCAGGCAAAGATGAAAACCCCACGTCAGCATTTCTGGAGAACTTGCCCCATCTGTCAATATCAGCTTTTAGTCGGTTATGCAATTCTTTTATTTTGAACCCATTATAGGAAATAGACCTCAGATTCTGAGGTCCATACAAGTAAATCACTTGTATGCTTTGTTTATTTTACCCCAAACATGAGATACAATGCCTGGCCTTAAGAAAAAGCTGAGTTGCATCTTTCAAAGGAAGAATAAATGAAATGATTGCGTATTGCACATGCCATGTAATGAAGAAACAACCTCTTTGACATGCCCTGCATTTCAGGCACCCTACTGAGATTATGTGATAAAACTCCTCTGGCAAAACACCTTCTTTTGCGAAGATCATGCTTCTTCCAAAAATCTGTGTGACTCTCCAAGATCATTTATCAACATTTTTTTTTTGAGCACAGTTCTAACATTTGGATTTACATCTGGCCATGCTCCAACATAAAGTTTTTGTTCATTTGAGGACATGCTTCAGGGAACATTGAGAATCAAAAAAGCATAACTTCTTTCTCTTAAAACCTAGGAGTGGATATTCCTAAGATATGTCTGCTAGCTTTGCTATACTTTTCTGATGGGCTAGGTCTAGTCCATCGTTTTGGTAAAGAACTTAAAAAAATTTTCAGAGTGGAGCAAAGTTACCTTCTCAGTGGTGGGAGAGAAGGGCACAGGATGGTCTTTTCTATAACTAATGGAAATGGGTTGTGAGGGTGAGGAGCCATCATGTTTGAGTTTTTAGATATCAGCAGACATAGGTATATTTTGGGGAATATCAAAATCATGTTGGCGTTGAGTATGGAGGCAGGGCTGCACAGGACCTTCAGCTAGTGTGTATGAATTGGTGACATTAGCACTCAGGTTATTCTTACCTGTATTGGATTTTAGAACACTGAGCGACAGAAACTGCTGCTACAAATAGACAAGTCAGACCCAAGCTTCATGCAAGGACTAATTTATGTTTCCATAGATCTCAGCTGCTCCCTGTTTTCTTCTCTTGTTGAATGTGAAAGCACACATTTGATTCTCATTGTTTAGTGAGTAAATAATCAAACAGACTGGCTCTTGGCATTCAGAAACAAATTTCATTTGTGTGACTTCAATGCATTACCTATCATGGGAAGCTCTGAGGCTTCAGTGAGGCCGACAAAGAGAGAGTCTTAGATTTCTCCTTACTTACAGGATCTCCACTTCTGTCTTAAAAGTGCATTTGGGAAAGAATCTCTGCCTTGACTATTTTCTTTCAATAAAGTAGTTAGGAGCGTCGGTGAGAAATGGCTGTTAGCACCAAAGAAATGTTAGGATTAAACATTTTCTAAATATAGAGTTCTAAAATATGAAATGGCTCAGTTGGTAAAGTGCCAGCCATGGAAGCACAGAGACTGAGTTAGATCCCTCAGGACCACATATCAGAGCCGAGAGTGGTAGCGTGCAGGGTAGCAGCAGGCCTTTGCTGGCCAGAGAGTTAAGCTGAATCAGCAAGTTTCCTGCTCAGTGAGAGACCCTGCCTCAAAATGAGCAGTGTGGATGGCTCCTGAGGAATGACACTCGAGATGCGCATTTCCACACATATGCACACGCTCCCCCATCACGTGTGCACAGAAACGTTTTTGTGTGTTTGCATAAAATAAACACAAACAGAAATTCTGAAAATATAGAGAATTTATCAGAACTATTTTTTCTTTGCTTTCCCCCTATGGATTGCATCTTAGAACTGTTGTTATCGACTCAGGTTTACCGTACTTGCCACTTGGTTTTATTCCCCAAATTTGCCCAGTATGCCATGGTGGTTGGATGGCTGCTTATGTTGGGAACAGTGGCTTTTCAATTTCTACCTATCTTGCTTTTACAACCTTAACTAACTTAAGAGAAATAAGTTGTATCTTTTTTAGGTTTGCACAGTATTAGATTTGCTAAAATCAGCTGGCAAGCTCAGAGCATGTGGCCAAAGTCCAGGAAAT